AAGGAAGGAAGGAAGGAAGGAAGGAAGGAAGGAAGGAAGGAAGGAAGAAAAATAATAAATTAGCCTCTATGCTATACTTTGTTTCAGACCTTGGAGGATAATTTGGTTCATGTGCCCAGAGTAGCTCAGGAATTGTTTGGGGAAGCCATTTGACTTTTGCAGAGATGCCTTTTTTTATAGAGTAATAGTCTGGGGCTCTTGCTGGGGTCCTTCTTAATGAGAGTGGATTCTAGTTTTTATGAGAGGAGATTGATGAAGCTAGCAATCTTCTGAAAGGGCTAGTCTCTGATGGGTTTCATAGTTTAGGGGCAGTTCTATAGAATTTGTTATGACTATCATTATTTAAGCCATACCATTCTTTACTTACAGTCAAGAGTGGGTCTTGTGAGGCTCTGAACTTATTTTCTGACTTTAAGAACCAAACGAAAGTAGAAACTTAAAATCACCTTTATGATTGAATACTGCATAACAGCAAATGGAGAAAAATATATGTTCACATTTTTTTAGTTATCTGTTGTTATGTAACACATTACCTCCAAAATTGAGTGGCCTAAAACAACAATAAACATTTATTTCCTCACAGCTTCTGTGGGCTGGGAACTTGGGAGTGGGTTTTCTGGGTGGTTCTGGCTTGGGATATTTACTGAGGTTGCAATCCAGATATCAGCCTCAGCTGTAGTCCTGTAAAGGCTTGACCAGGGCTAGAGGAGTCCCTTCCAAGGTGGCTTCCTGACATCACTGTTGGCTAGTTGGGTTTTTAGAAAGAAACTTAGGTTACTCACCATGTTCTCCTCTCTATAGGGATGCTGAGTTTTCTCACAATGCGGCAGCTCATTTTCTTCAGAGATCCAAGAGAAACTAATGTAGAAGCTACAAGGCCTTTTATGACCTAGACTCAGAAATCACGCAGTTACTTTCACAGTATTTTATTGGTCACACAGATCATCCCCATGCATTGTGGGGGAAGACTACACAAGAGTTTGAATACCAGGAGGCAAGGGTCACTGGGGTCATCTTGGAGGTTGACTACCACATACCACCCTCCCCCCTTCCTCTGCCTTGGTTGGAAAAAGCAAGAGAGAGTAAAGGAGTGAAGTAACGCTGGAAAAAATAAAAGAATATGGGGCTCAAAGCCTCCATCTGGCTTTCATGGCAGCTAATCATAATTTTGCACAAGGAGACTAAGGATAAAGGAAGAAGGAAGATAATATTAAACCAACAAGGCTTCTTGGGGTTTTAACTGATAATTATCCCTTTTCCTACTAATATCTGAGTTGAGAACCAATAAAGAAACAGACACAGTTGTCAGACAAATGGGTATCAGCCTCGTTACTGGTGGTGTTGGATTGAATTTGTGGTCATTGTCCTTCCCTCCTTGTCTAGACCATAGGACAGCCTGCCTGAAGGAGAATTTGGGTATGTAAGGCAGATGAACTGCCTTAGAATTGCTGCCTCATCCATGTCAAGCCCCAAAGTAAGGGACACAGAGAGATGGACTTCCAGACTCACTTCTAGAAGGCAGGCCTGACCCCCCTGGCCCTTGATCATTCCGTGCTTACAAGCAGAAGCAGAGCAGAAGCCACTCAGCCTAGAGGCAGGGAGTTCAGAGAGGACTGAATCCATCTAGTCAACCACTTCTCCTAATCTCACCAATCAAATGAATTCATTCCTTTCTTCTTGGAGAAGAGGGAAGGACAGGGCATTTCCTCCTAGGAAACGGAATAAAATTTTCTGTATGGACAAGATACAAACAATGGAAAGGGACAAGAATAGCTTTTGCTGTACAGGTCACTCAGATAAACCAGTCTCATCGATAATGGGCTGTTACACACATGTCAACTCTATTAAAATCAAGTCTCTACGAAGCAGAGAGTCGTTGTATTTTGAGTTGTTTTACAGATGTTATAAACTTCTGTTATTTTCTATTCTGTTTATGTTTAATGCTCTGTAGACCAATAGTGTACCTTTTTTTTTTCACTACTTTGAGTGGCTTTAACTAAAATATATCTCTCTTTTCTAGGCACAGGGTGGTAGTTTCCTATCCTCCTCAGAGTGAGGCAGAACTTGAACTTAAAGAAGGAGATATCGTGTTTGTCCATAAAAAGCGAGAAGATGGCTGGTTCAAAGGCACGTTACAACGTAATGGGAAAACTGGCCTTTTCCCAGGAAGCTTTGTGGAAAACATCTGAGGAGACTAACATTGAGAAGGCTGAAGTCACATCACACAACAAAATAGCACAAAGCAATTTAATGGAAAGAGCACATTTTGGACTTCCAGATGGTCAGGAGATGAGCAGAGGATGGGTGTGTGACCCCAGTGCCCTCAGCACAGTTAGGCCAGCCAACAGTGTGAAGAAGGCGTGTGTATGGGTCTTATTCTGGGTTCTGATGTGTAAGGTGTGCCTTGTACTGTCTGATTTGCTATACAGAGAAACCTTTTTAAAAAGATATATAGCTAAAATGGACAATTGTTTACAAGGCTTAACTAATTTATTTCCTTTTTTACACTTGAATTTTTCTTGTAATAGATAAATTCTTTGGATTATGATTTTAAGAAATTATTAATTTATGAAATAATAGCTAAGGAGAAGCTGGATTATCTCCTGTTGAGAGCAAGAGATTTTTTTTTTTTCGACATAGAATGAATCCCCCTTTCTCCCCTCACTGGTGTTACTTTTTACTTCTTTAAGACAGAAATGCCAGTTCTCTAATTTGGTTTTCTTCTTTAGGAAACTAAAACCTATAACTGAATCAATATCAATAAAGGCCTGGGGTAGGCAGACAGAAACAAGAGAAGAGAAGTTGGTGATTCCCTATCTTTCTGGTTTGGTCAGGAATCACCCTTAAGACCTAGTCTTCAGTATAATTTTATGGGTTTTTAATTTCCCTAGAATGAAGCCAGTGAAGTGATAAGAATAAAGCACAACCTCAAACAAAAATGTATTCGGAAATGTATTTAGTTTTATAACAGAAGCAGCTGATTCATTGGTTGGAAATTGGGAAAATTGAAGTTGTACTCCTGTCTGAGAATGGCTATGAAATGTAATCGCCCATTTTACCCCAAGTGATCTGCATGCCCAGGACACAATAAAACGTTTGTGAGATTGTGGTGGTAAGTGGTGCACTCGTGCTAAAGTCAAAGGCTATAAGAAACACTGTGAAAAGTTTACATTCATCCCTTGTGATTCTTTTCCCACCATCCTGCATGTGTTACTGGATTCCCACAGTAATAGGGACTGTGCATGGTGTGTATATTTCATTGCAATTTCCTGTTGAGGTTGGTTTGCGCTCAGAAGTGACCAGTGCAGGAGGTGTAAAATAAACAGTATTCTTTTTGCTCCTGACCGAGGTCTCTGAGCGTACTCGCTCCCTCCCTGGCTAAGGAATCCATCAGCCATTAGACAAGTCATTAATGAAAATGTTCCTTTATGTCCTCCCAGCTGACGGATGTAAAGGATGAGCCGGGAGACTGCTCCTGTGACTGTTCTCTTGCAGCTCTGGGAGGCCTTTCACGAGTGAAAGTGCCCACACCTTACAACGGCGGCAGGATCCAGCTGAGCCCGTCTTTTTATATCCATTCTTTGATGTCATTGGCCTCTTCCCGTTACATTCCGGCACCAAGCGGTCATGGGTCTGGGTAGTCCTAAAATCAAAAGGAGGGAAGACATCCTGGTAGTGAATGAAATTGTTGCTACAGTTTTTTTGTGAAAAACAAATAAAAAACCCTTTTTCATTTTTTACTTTTAAGAATTACAACTGGGAAATAGAAACATGAACTGAAAAGTCTTCTTGCGATAGCAAGAGGTTTCATGGTCTTAAAAAGATATATCATGTGGTTGAAAATGAAATCATTCCTAAATTAACCTTTTATATATATATATATATATATATAAAACACTGTACATTATGTTCCTGTGTGTTGAATTTTTAAAAAAATACTTTACTTGGATATTCATGTAATATATAAAGGTTTGGTGAAATGAATTTTAGTTAGAAAAAAAGCTGACATCAGCTTTCATCTGTGTAAGTTGACACCAATGTGTCATAATATTCTTTATTTTGGGAAATTAGTGTATTTTATAAAAATTTTAAAAAGTAAAAAGACTACTACAGCTTAAGATAATTTTTTACCTGTCTTTTCTCCATATTTTAAGCTATGTGATTGAAGTACCTCTGTTAATAGTTTCCTGGTATGAAGTTGGTTAAAATTTCATCTGTTAATAGATCACTTAGATAATATAATGTATGGGTTTTCTATTGGTTTTTTGGAGACAGTAGGTGGAGATTTTGTAACAAGGGCTTGTTACACAGCGATATGGTAATGATAAAATTACAATTTATCATTCCGCTTCGTGTTAATAATTTGAAGACTGGAGAAAAGGTTCAAGATTAAAATTTGATGGTCAACCGTTACATGTCCCTTGTGTTAATTCTTAAAATTTTTCTTTTTTCCCCTTTTTTTAACCTGAAACACATTTGATATATAATTTCATTTCATAAAAATTATTTCCATGTACCTCGAACAGAAGATGTCTACAATAATCAATTCAGTGGTTATGAAGCATTTTACCTCTCCAACTAGCAAACATTGTTTGGTTAGTTCCCCAAGAAGTTTAAAATCTTCTTAAAACAGCTTGTTGAGGGACGCCTGGATGGTGGTCTGTTAAGCGTCTTGATTTCGGCTCAGGTCATGATCTCACAGTTGTCGGTTGTGAGATCCAGACCTATATCAGGCTCTGCGTTGACAGTGCAGAGCCTCCTTGAGAGTCTCTCTCGTTCTCTCTCTCTCTGCCCCTTTCCTGCTCACACACACTCTCTCTCAAAATAAATAAATAAACATTAAAAAACAAAGTAGCTTGTGGAGATTTACCAGGGACTATATAATCTGCTCCCCTCTCCCCCTTCATGGTACTAAAATCTCTGGTGACTGCTAGAAGATACATCTTAGCCATAGAAAGAGGTACTAGACCTATAACCAACTATATGATAACCAATAGGTCTCAGCAGAGCTTGGGAACATCATCTTTAGACTTCATGACTAATGGAATGCCAGCAAGTTGTAAGTTTAAAGAGACTGTGTTGGTCATGTTAAAAAAATATTTTCCTAACTTAGTTATCAAATTACTTAACAGAATTAAAATCAGGAATTCCAGTTTGTATCATAGCTTTGCTAAATCTACCTTTGTAACCACCTGAGCAAGTCAATTATTACTTAGTGTCCTCCTGTGACGGCCCTCTCTGCCACATTGAGTGAAGGCGAGGAGCAAAGGAGACTATGCCACTGTTTTGAAAAGTGCTATTGTAATAAACGGCAGCATTTTCATCTCTGGTTTCAAATATTTCATCTCATTCTCTTGGAGTACATGCATATAATGCCTTTACTGTGTCTAATTAGATTTAGAAGGAGCAAATTAAGGTGATGTTTCCAGCTGTTATGCATTTAACTTTCTGTTCCTGATGAGAATAGGACAATTTTCATACCTGTAGAAGTTCAGAATATTTCAATCCAGAGCTCTAAGCAACATTAGAATTCAAGTTTGGAAAATGCTTTTAATAGATGTTAGGCTAAGTTGTTGTGTGTATCCGTGTGAATTTTAGAAAATTAACTAGGATCGGGATGCCTGGATGGCACAGTCGGTTAAGCATCTGACTCTTGATCTCAGCCCAGGTCATGATCTCATAGTTCATGAGTTCAAGCCCCGCATCAAGCTCTGTGCTGATGGCATAGAGCTTGCTTGGGATTTTGTCTCTCCTCTCTGCCCCTGCCCTGCTTGTCCTCTCTCTCTGTCTCTGTCTCTCTCTCTCTCTCTCTCTCAACATGAATAAATAAATTTAAAGTTACCTGAAACCAATTAAATTATGCCCTTATCGAGTAGCATCCTATTGAAACTATTCCTTTCCAAGAAAAAGAATTTGCCAAGCTACCACAGTAATGGAGAGAATATTTACAAAAGAGATTGGCCAATGTCAAGGCTTAGAAGGCCTTGCCCTTCACTAACTCCTGTGAACTGCAGGCTATAATGGGATATGCTCCAGTGTATATGGATGTTTCTAATGGGACTTTGCTCTATTCCCGGGAGTAATTATCATCAGAGACAGTAAGCTGTTGGAGTGGTAAGCAGCCAATGTGAACTGTGACAGTTTTAAAAGACTCTCTCTCGATTTACAAATGAATGTTTCTTTTATTTCTTTCGTGTTTCCTATTAATAACTTTCTGGCTTGGCTACTTCAATTTCCATTTTGAAAACACCACCTTGGTCTCATTCAGGGCAAATTCTTATTGCATTGCAGTCATCCAGACATTCAATAATCATGTTGAAGGGACCTGCAATTCACATTAATCTTTGAGCCATCATTCAATACTATTATTATATGGTAAGACTACTTTAGTGATACTGTTAAGTCTCCAAAGACAACAAAACTATCCCTACCAGTAATCAGTGAGCCAGATGTCACTGCTATTGCTTCCAACTTAAATAAGAAATTTGGTTCCAGAAGGCTTTGACCTTGAGTTGAATCTTTCAAGGTCTGAATCCTTGTACTAGAAAAAACCATCAGACATTTCAGAGTGAGAAGGCCTTCCTAAATATGACTCAAAAACCAGAAGCCATAAAAAAGGAAACATTGATACATTCAACTACAGAAAAATATCTACACAAAAAGACACCATAACCAAAGTCAAAAGGAAATAATAGACAAAAAAGGTACTTGTAACTCCTATAGCAAAGTTTCCTTTATATATAAAAAGCTCCCACAAATCAGTAAGAATAAGAACAAAAGCCCAAAAGTAAAATTGACCAAGGATTTGTGACAGAGACTGCCAATTACCTCCCAATGTTCATTTTTCTTTTTTTTTTTAAGTTTTTTTTTTTTTAATCTTTATTCATTTTTGAGAGAGAAAGAGCCAGAGCATGAGCAGGGGGAGGGGCAGAGAGAGAGAGGGAGACACAGAATCTGAAGCAGACTCCAGGTTCTGAGCTGTCAGCACAAAGCCCGATGCAAGGCTTGAACCCACAAACTGTGAGATCATGACCTGAGCTGAAGTCAGATGCTTAACCTCCTGAGCCACCCAGGTGCCCCCCAATGTTCATTTTTCAGTTCTTCCTTATTAACTGATATCTGGGCAATGTACTCAATCAAAACCTACATTTCCAGTTTTTCGTGGATGCAGCCATGTGACTAAGTTGTT